TAGGCTTAATGTTTCTGTGACTGGAGTAGCCTCTTAGGACCACAGCATTTTAGTCCAAAATAGTGTTTTTCTCACCTAAGAACATGAAAAAAAATCAATAATTTCCCCTCAAACACATAAGTTCACTTTCTCCTGAAAGATCAGGTGAAATACTTCTATCCAGAGTGAGTCTTCTGTGGATTTGTGATTAAAGACGTAGATTTTACTTGTTTTTGTACCTTGTACACATTTGTGGACAAAGTATTAATATCAGTTTAGGGCTAGTGAGAGTGAATAATTACTGGATAAAACTCATTTATAGATCAGTAAGAAGAAAGAAAAATACACAGTGAAGGGAAAAAGACTAGATTTATACTACAATCCTCAGATCTCGGGRCATTAATATATTTTAATACAAAGAAAGACCCATCGTAAACGCAGTACTTTACACTGCACATGTACCTGGCACTGCTTTGTGGTCCCTGCTCCTCTTTCCTGCTTCCTCTCATCATCTCCTCCTGCTCCTCCTCACCCTGCTCATCTGTCCCTTCCTCCTAGGCCTGCCGCGATAGTCAATAAATCAATTAATTGCACGATAAATTATCTTGAGGTCAATAAAAAAAATGAGGACGATAAGTTTCATTTTCCTGCTTGTTGGTTTACTTCGTCTCTCTCCCTCTCAGCGCTCCGCTGCACAGGGGGCTCAGCTGACCCCTCCCCTCCTCTTTTCTTAGTGTCGGGAGGAGTGAACTCTCGCGCGGTCTCGTACTTCTTTAGCATGAGAGAGAGCTCGTAGCAATAACAAACTAAAGAAACGTTGATGGGATTCTGAAAAATGGAGAAGGAATTGGTTTCAAAGCAGAACGTGGCTGCTGCAGTGTCGGAGCACTTGCAGGGCCTGAAATTCGCTGCGGGGATTGCGCATATTATGATCGATTCCCGCCAAATCTAATTTTTATGATGCGGGAAGTTCCCACAKAGAATAAATTCCAGCGATGTGTAATTATGTGGAAGTTTGCATCGGACTATTTTTAGATGACAACTAGTACAGAAYTGACCACCTTCTGATCAGAAGACACGGAGAGAGAGAGAAGGGGAAGGGGTGGGGGCTGAAACTCCCCCGCCTCGGTACCTTCATGAGCGAGGCAGACAGACCCGCTGCAACAGACTCGTCAAAATCTGAGACTTTACCTGGAGTTCCCAAAAACAGGAAACTTAAACGCACCATCTGTGTTTTAACAAAACACCCAAAAAACTGTAGCTGTCCCAACAACTCATGAGGAAAACTCTGAAGTGATTTCCTCCCCCGCAGCGCTTTGCTTGTCTCCTCATTGTACCCTCCTCACACACGTGTGTTCTTCTATCCTCATGGGGACTTTGCATTGACTTTCATTCATTTACCAGTATTTTCTATTACCTATTTGACCCTAAACTTTACTTAGGATGTGAACTGGGTTTATGTCCACATAAGAAACAGTGGGTCCTCACCAGGCTGTGTAGTTTGCTTCATCTCTAAAGAGATGCTGCTCTTAATATTGTTTATTTACTGTCTTAGTTGTGTGTGGTGTTTAATTTCCATTTTGTTGTTCTTTGTTTTTTTTTTATTCAAGTGCATTTTTTGTTAGAGACAGAGTCCATTTTTGTTAAACATTCTTTAGAAATTAAAGTTTATTGATCTTTGACAGGATGTACTTACATATTACGCTTTTATCATTTTTAGTTTTAAAATGGTCACCAGACAATATAATCGCTTATTGCAATAATTTTTGAGACAGTTAATCGCCCAGCAAAATTTGTTATCGTGACAGGCCTACTTCCTCCTCCTCTTCATTTCTGTGACTGGCATCAAACTCCATGACTGACTCTGGCCTTTTCAGCTACCAATAAAAAAACAGCAATGATACATGATTTCACAGCACTTTTGCAAAGAATTCAGTTCAAATTGGCCTACAACATATGGAAAGTTCTACACATCATACTCACTGCAATGTAATTTTCTTGAGCAAAAATAGCTGTATCAACGCAGAAACAGAACAAGAAAACAGACTATTTCCTGAAATATGCTTTTACAGTAATAAATGTGTCTTTTTCTGGTCAGCATGGATTGTTTTTAATTTTAGTTGATAAAGCAGATTAAAGATTTATGCAGGTATGAACTGTTCCTGATAGGCTGTGTTTAATGTTCTGTGAGCCCCGAACACATCCAGAAACACAGAAACCAAGTCTGGATGTAAAATATGAAATAATTAAATAAAAATACAACTGTGTAAAGCGGCTGATCTACACCAAAAGAAAAKGACTTGAATCTAGCAAAACTGAAATAAACCAAGATTAAATAAAGAAGAGAGACCCATAACCACACTGTTTTTCTTTTATAATTTTTGTTTATGTTATCTGTTCATAAGTTACAAACTGTATCAATGTACACTGTTTTTAAAAATCACTAAATAAAAAATAAAATACAACTGTGTATGGAAAAAGCAGACAACTCACCGTATTTCTGCCTGATTTCCTGATGTCTCTGCTTCATCTCGGCCCTCCTGTAAGAAAAACAATCATCCTCCCATGAGACAAACAATGACGATCCTCCGGCTTTCTGACACATGCGGAAGTCATGTGGCCACAAACCAGTTTGGGCTAACAACACAATGACGTGTGCAAATGTGCATTCCCCCCGCCCCCCTTCCTTATCATCTTTGTGTTACACAAGACAGCATACAGATCATGCCTAACAAGACAAGAGCAGCTGGTGCAGAACAACCAGAAACAAAAAGCCATTTAAGAATCGCTGAAAGCTCCTGAGAGAATAGAAAACTCAGAATGTGGAATGATTGATGATTCATAAATGTTAACCCTCACCTTTCTTCTTGCTTGGCTTTCGTCTTGTTGGCGTGTCTCTCCATCTTGGCCTCGAATCGTTTGGATCTGATAAGACAAAAACAAAACAAAACAAACAAACTAAGATGTGTTGAAATGAGAGCATGGCACAGTGTCTGTCTCCAGGCGAGTTGAGATATTCACACCACAGCTGGCGTGAAAACAAACCRGATGTGGAGGCAGAAATAATGGATCAGAATCTGATCAGGTACGGCTCGTCTGAAACTGCCCACAGAATAATTCTGAGCTGAARCTACTGAAATATCACACACTTAACCTTCGACACAAAAGGAGCTAGAGAGTCAAACGTCCGTGCTTCTGTCACTGTGTGGCGTCAAACAGGCGGCCTGCTGAAAACTCACCCGGCGTTCTCACACTTGCAGCAGCAGAACATGCAGATCACGAGGGCGATGATGAGAGCGGCAGCCAGCACCGACAGGGTGATGATCAGCGACTGAAAGTTCACTGCAGATATAACGGCAGGCTTAGGAATCACAGTTCAACTTACAAGTTTAAAAAAATGACTTTATCTTTTTTTTTTTTACTTCACAGAATCAGTCTTGAGCACATGTGTAAAACTCAAGGCCCGCAGGCTAAATCTGTTCCTCGTTAACAATTTGTCTGGTTTTAAATAGTTTTTAGTTTCTCTTTTTCTTACTGTATTTAGTGCATTCTTTTCAAGAYGGCTGGCTAATTTTCAAGCCAGAGTTAGAATTTTTCAGTAAACATTCATTTTGGTGTGGAAAGAGCAATTATCTTTTCCTGTACAATTTTTAAGATTTTAAAGCCAAATAATTGGATTTTTCGTGTGGATTTTCCCTTTTAACTGATTTGCTGAATTGTGATGAAATGTATCTTTCAGAAATAATAAATCAAAAAGTGGTTGGTAGAAAGTAAGGCATAAGAAATATATGCTAATGATGTATCTTTCTAAGTGTCATTTTTTTTTTACATCTCATAGGTTATGTATGTTCTAAATGATACATAATATATACTCTGGAAAAAATCATTTGTATTTCTGTAAGAATAATTTGTTATCTAAGATTTCTTCAATAAATATTGACAAAAATTGCCCCTTGGCTTGGACCAAGTTTTGAATTTTGACCCCTTGTGTCACAAAGTTTGACGCCCCTGCTCTAGAGCCACAAATAAATTAAATATTCAATGAATTAAAAAAAAACTCTGTTGCTATCAGGTAGGATTTACAAACTGAACTGAAACCAAAAAGAAAGAAATGTTTATTGTTGTAATACAGAGGTTATTTAACATATAATGCAGAATTTATGAAATTACATTTTGATATACATACTTAGAACCTTTTTTTACAAATATTACTTTTTGAGAAAAGCACAGTTGTTATGTAGCTTCCTCGCATTTATAATTCTAAAAAAAAGATTACACAGCAGCACGATGGCTCAGTGGTTAGCACCGACACCTCACAGCAAGGTCCTGGGTTCGATCCCCAGTTAGGACCTTGGGTGTTTCTGTGCTGCGTTTGCATGTTCTCCTCATGCTTGCATGGGTTTTCTCTGGGTACTCCGGTTTCCCCCACCCCTAAAAACATGGATGTTGCCTTCAGGCCCAGGCCGCCCATGAAAAAAAAGATCTGAGATCTCAGTGGGACTTGCCTGGTTAAATAACGGTRAATAAATAAGCATGTATAATCTCCTGAAACTCTTCGTTTATGAGGTTCAACTAATCCAAAATAGCTAGGGGAAACTAAAAATACACACAAAGCAAAACAATAATCCTCTTGGGACTGAAGAGGATAAAACATCGGGCCAAGSGGGGCCAGTGGGAGGGGCGACTGCCCTCGCTGGTCCCACCTTGGTGACAGCCCTGATGCAATAYCTGCTTGTTGTGCTTCTTTTCTTATTATCAAGGATAAGTTTATTTATAGCTTGATCAAACAAAGTGAATATTTAACACAGCCTGGTGAGTAATATCACCCACTGTCAAATGGCAACATCATTTCACCTGCGTCTATCTGTTAGCAAAATATCTCATGAACACACAAAGATTTCAGTCAAACTTTCAGAAAGTAATCGTTGGATGTATGTCTAGAACTGATTAAATCCTGGAGTCACTGCAACTCAAAATGCTCGCAACAGCCAATCGACCTAAGCAAATGCTAAAATGGCTAACGCAGTCAGGTTTACAGATAATCAACCAAAACTGGGTGTGGTAGTAGCTGAGTGTCATTACCAGCACTTACTTTGAGAGCTGGAAAATCATGAGATATTTCAATGAAGGGAGGGAGATGAYGTGTCATGTTAGGGTAAAGGTTAGATGAAAAGGGCTGTAATTCTGTCTTTTTTTTTTTCAACAAAAGATGATATTTTTATTCAATTTTGTCCTAAAAAGCAGAGAAAAAAAAAATTTCTTGCATATGTGTGTGTGTGTGTGTGTGTGTGTGTGTGTGTGTGTGTGTGTGTGTGTGTGT